GTTAAATACTGAAGTGCCTTTAATGAGGAAGGCTGTCCTTCAAAATAGAATGGCCTTAGATATTCTAAGAGCATCCCAAGGTGGTACATGTGCAGTTATTCAAACTGAATGCTGTGTCTTTATACTGATGAATCTTCCAATGTGTCATCCTTGTTAAAGCACATGAGAAAGGAGGTGAATGCCTTGAGCAATCCTATAGCCAGTCTTGATTTATTTGATTGGCTTCCCTCAGGTATTGGCTCCTTTTTGTGATCCAGATTACAATTCCTATTTCTATTACTCATTGGAATTCCAGTATTAGTCATAGTATTCAAACTGATTACTATTTTCTTTACTCAGTGTTGTTAAGTCTGGTATGCAAGCTAAAGTAATGATGGCTCAACAACTTGAAATGGTTTGGTCAATTTTATGACTCTGGACAAATTTCCCTTTCTGATAAAGATTATTTTTGATAAAGCTTAAGAACTAATCTTAAAACTAGTATTTTCTATAATTGTAAACAATGTAAGCATAAAGAGTCACAAAAGCACATGTACAATGTTTGTGCAACAATCTAAAATTAATTGGAAAAAACATATGAAAAACTTCCTCTGTTTATACACACACACACATACACACACACACACACACACTCACTCACTCACTCACTCTAGTCTATTATTTATTCCCAATGTGGATAACTAGGCAAAGCCACATGATAAAGGCCTAGCACCAAGGGACTTGATGGACCGAGGGCAGGCAGAAAATATCCTGGTGCTAAGGGGTGTTGCACTGATCATCAATGCTTTTCAATAAAAAGGGAGAAAATGATGAATAAAGAGAAAGCAATAGGATATATTAGAATATCTGAGGAAGCCATTTGGTTTAAAATTAATTTGGCCTAACCTTGCTTTTACAAAAAGGCCTGATGTGGCCAGTTGGACATGCACTGTACACCTGTTTTAAACATTTACAGTATCCTAAAGCCAAGATAGGGATGTTGCCTTCTCTCCCACATCAACATCTCTTTATAAATAAGGTTTATAAATAAGGATTTCTTCCCAATGGGGCATGGCTATACTTACTAATAGGTCCTTTGGCGATGGTCTCGTTACACCTTCTGTTCAGGCTCATGATTCTCAATTCTCTTGTCAAGTCTATTCCCAGAGACCCAAAGATATAAATCCCTCTTGGAACCACACTCCAGAACTCATGAGTAGTTAACAATTAAAAGCTGGTCATTCTTCAAGTCCTTGTTATGCCTATGCCCCTTACCAGCAGGAAACAACTAGAGCAGTTGTTACCCCATCCTCTCAAGATTGAGGAATGAACAACAAAAGGGGGGATTTGTAACCACAAGCCCCCCAGAGCCAGTTTGAACAGACTCCATCTCATAGAAACAGAGTGATTCAAGAATTGTCTTTCAGAAAATTTGCAAAGTCACATAGCCAGAGCATGCACAGAAGAAGAAATATTGACCTGAAATGACCACAGAACCAAAGATTCTCCTCCTCATGGAACCAAAGGACCAGAATATGACCAGAACTTAAAAGTCAGACTCTTATCAGAAGCAAGGGGTCCATCATCCAGGAAGATCCAGTGTTAAAATTCCTTCCCCACCTTACCATAAATGTTTAGGACATTACCATAAATGCCTAAAGCCCACCAATCAAAACCTGTCTGGTCAGTATTTCCATGTGCCAGCCTGATCTCCCTAACCTCTTAAACTTTACCTCAAATCCTGAATCAGGGAGACAAATCTTAGGGCACATGCCCCCATCCCTTTCAGATCAATCTCGCAAAATAAAGCTACATTTCTTTTCCCAAAAACTGATGCTGTAATAATTGGATTTTTTTTAAATGCACATTGGGCCAGAGAACCCCAATTTTGTGTAGTAACAATACTATAGATCAATGTTACCTTAATAGAAAATTAATGTTAAAAAAGTCAGCCATGTACCATCACACCACCAGTTTATCATAATTTGCCTTGTATAAGGGAAATGAGACATTCTGATCTAAAAGTTAATCAGCAACTAAAATGTTATCATTCATGCCATGTTATAAAGCCATATCAATATCCTTAAGCATAGTACACTTTTTTGTGGTTGTTATTTAAAGCAAGTTACCATTAGTAGCAAAATACAAAAAATAAAAGAAAAATGAATTGTTAAAACACTAAAACTAGGAAAAATAAAAATATCTCAGTTGTCAACAATCATTGCTCTCAGTCATATCCCTTTGGTCTATTATTACATACAGTGGGTGGTCCAGCATTTTCAACTTTACAACTTCTTTGAGAAATCAAGCAGCCCTCAAAAATCCATTGACTTTTCTCTTCAGATGCTTGAGATCCATTTTTAACAATGACTATTAAATGTATTAGAATCCCTAGACCAGATTCTTCATATATACTATTTTAAAACTCAGCGATCTATGAAATGGGTATTGCTCCTCCAGTTTATAGAAGACAAAACTGAGGCTCAGAAAGGTCAAGCACCTTGCTCACGGTGACACAGCCAGAAAATGAAAATTAGAACCCTAATCACACTCCATACAGGGATTGTTATTACTGTATCAAATTACACTCAAATAATTTTTGTTAATTTTCTTTTAATCAATACACTCTATCTAAATTGTGAAGCTAGTAATAATATGGAGATATGATTAACATTCAATGCAACTTATCCATCCTCCCCCTCATCCACCCCACAGTCAAGTAATGAAAACCATTATTTGTTTGGCAATACATAAGGAAGTATGGACATGAGACAGACCTTAATTTGTGCCCTGAAGGCTTAAGGTGAGAGATTAATATATGCAAAATGAATTCATTACTGGGTAAAATTGCAGAAGAGTAAATTTTTCTCTTCTAAAGGTCCTCTCCAGAAGGACCTTCTAAAGATGGCAGTGGGTGAGCAAGATAAGGACAAAGACATGAGGCTAAGTGATTAGAAAATCAAAGTAAGAGTGAGTCATGGTTCAGTAGCAGTGGTAAATGAAGACACTATAAGCCATCTGCCAAACAGAGTCATCTCAAGATGGTATTTTATAACACTTCAGCATTTTAGGGCACATTATATATTCATAACATATATATTTATATAATATATAATTTATATAGCATAATTTATATAATATATAATTTATATAATTTTATAATATATATAAACATGTATTATAAACATTATATATTTATAGGGCACATTCACATATATTTTTTATCTTTACACTGTGTATTTGATGCTTCAAAGAAAACTTAAATGTTTAAAATATTTGCTTTGAGTAGTGGTCAGAAGATAACAGCGTCTTTTAGAACATTGCTACTTGAATGAGCCCATGGATCAGCACAAGAGCATCACTCAGGGGCATTGCAAAAATGCAGAACACTGGGGTTGATCACCAGACCTAATGAATCAGAATTGACATTTTAACAAATCCACAGATCTGTATACACACTACAAGTTGTTAGGCCTTGCTCTAAGAAGAAAGGGTTAATTCTCAATTTATGTAAATTGACAGGAATTTCACAGAAGGAACAGAGTGGGCAGGAGAAAACACATCAAGGAGAAAGAGTTTCACATATCTTCACTTTCTCAGTGTTCTCCTCATTGGACAGAACAGAGACCCACAAGGAAAGAGAAAAGCATCAGTGTTTCTCTAACTTCAGTTTTGCTTTTGAAATAAGTATACTGCAGACCTGAAGCTGTCACTCATGCCTACCCCAAACAGGTATTAATGAGGAAAATTACTTAAAATAATTAGAAGCTTAATGTCATCAATTCAGAAAGCCAGCAGCAACATCTTAGGGAAAGTAGAAAAGGAATGATTCTAGAGATAATGTAGCCAAAGAAAAAAAGTAATAGAAGAACTAATGAGAGATTCTACATGTAGCTCTATAGATGTGATGGATATGGCAAACAGAGTGCCTAGGAAACAGAGGACAATTCAAAGTAGTTCCTGTTCCTTATGCTGCTCTTTCACACCCCAAAGATCTCTTTAAACCCCACTATCTTATTATCCTCTCACAGAATACCCTGAAAGCTTATTTATAGCAATTATCATGATCTATAACAACGTATTTATTTGTTTAATGCCTTTTTATCCACCACAGTAAGCTCCATAAGGACAAAGACTGGGTTTTGTTTCTGATCATTTGGTCCAACAATAAATATTGAATGATCACATTGGACAGATGAATATTTGCTGAGTGAATGAATAAAATAATGCATATATATTAATACGAATGTTTCCCATCCTAGGCATCTGTCAGTCTTTATTGGATATATTTGAGATTCAGGTCCTAGCTAAATATATGTATTCTAATCATTAGTCTATTCTAGTATTGCACTATTTGAGTTGCACTATTGTACTACTACACTATTCTTTCCTGTTTTTCTACACATTTGTTAGTTTCTGTCTTAATTTTGACTGAAACTATGGTCTCCATAAACATAGAAAACTAGTAGTATTTGGTGAGAATTCTTTTAAATTTCAAGCATATATGCATCATGTTTATTTGGCACAAGGCTAAATAATCAGGTTTCAAAATAGAAATTCTAGAGTCTTCCATTGTAAGCCCTTCTTTCACAGCACCCGTCAAGTACTAGGAAAATCCATTTCATTCCAAAAGAAGCCACCAGGTGGTGTTGTGGCCCAAGGCTAAAGCAAACCCAAACCTGAATATCAAGTTAGGAGTTTCACACTAATTCAACCCTACAGTCCTGGTGCCTCAACTCTCGGAAGCTTAGTAATGGCTATAGGTCCCTTGGACACAGCCTTCAAGATATAAACTGAAGCTTTTTATAGCGCTTCACTAAGGGAGAAGACACCCTAAATAATTTTAACTGAGGAGATCTTTTAAATATATCCATGTCTCTCAAATGGGGGCAATATTTCATTAGCAACTTCAGTAAGAGACAGAATTCTTGGATACAAAATATGCCTTCTACTAAGATATTAAAAGTTACACTTGCTAATTGCTATTAAATCTGAAAAAGTATTACAAAATTTTAAAATACCTGCTGTAAAGTATTCCAAGGGCCACACCGAAGAATTTCTAGTGTATTCAAAGGGGGCATGGTGTTTGCTGGGCATTTTACAAGTCTCTTTCTCTTAACAATTTTCTTTTGTTGACTTTGCTTGAAAATTTCAAACCAAGGTTTAAATGATTTCATCCAAGCTAGCCTCTTTTCTTCAATGGAAGACAGAAGTGCTGGCTCTGGTACAGAGCAGGTCAGGATAATTTCACATTCAGTTCTATTTTCATGACCTTCTTCTGGAATTTCTTTCATTTGAGATTTCACAGAGTTTACCTCTTTAAAAATCAAGGAGTTTTTTGCATTACAGCCACCCAAGTCTTCACAAGGAGACTGTCTACCTAAAATATAATTTTGCTTGTTTATTTTGCCTTCTACTTTGATCGTGGCATCACTGACGTTAAAAATCACATCAGTATTCAGAGCATTGTCTTTTGAGTTCTCTTGAGTTTCTTTAGATTTTAAATCTCTTTCTTTTTCTTGTAGTATTACATTTTTGTGTATATCTTCAGAATTTTCTAATTTTAGTGGTAGTAGTTTTTGTTTCATTGACATCACTGAAATATTATTCTCTTTATACAATGTTCCATTCTGTTCTCTCTCCTCTTTTTCTACTTTTTGTATCTTATCGTGTTGATTATCTTTAGTTACTTTCTGCGCTTCATTGTTTTTCTCCCCAATAATTTCTTGATTATGTCCTAATATTATGATTTGGGTTTCTTGTCTCACATTCTCAGTAATAGCAGGTTTCATGAGTTCCTCTTTTTGTGTTTGTGACTTTAATTCTTGCAGCTGAAACTGTTCTGTCACATTTTCTTTTAGATCTGGGTTTTCCAATTCATTTTTTTGGTCTATATTTTCAAGTTTTCTTTCTTGCTTGACCAATTTTTGTGAACATTGTTGTTTTCCCAGGTTTTCATTTTTTTCTTCCATTTTAAATTCTGCCAAAATTGCTTGGTTTGATATAGATTCTTTTAATTGCACTTGTATTGATTGTCTGAATACAAGCTGTCTATCCACATTTTCTCTGTTACTCAATTCTTCAACCAGCCAAAGGGGATCACCTTCCAACTTCTCTGACTTTTCATTCCCTCGCTTTTTGGCTATATCATCCTTATTCTCTGTTGTCTCTTCAACAGTTAAATGTTTGGCATTACCTTCTCCCTTCTTTAATGCTCTACTTACTATTTGCTGTTTTCTTGCTTCTTCTCTTAATCTTAATTTTTCCTTATTTAGCAGTTGCTCTTTTTCTCGTCTCACAAGGTTCTTTTTATCTTCATATTCTTTTTCTCTCCTTTTCCTTTCCTCTTGCTTCTGCTTTTTTATCTCTTCCTCTATCCTTTGTTCCTCCTCTAATCTTTTTCGTTTTTCTTCTTCCATCTGTCGAATTTTTGCTTCCTTTTCTTTCCACTCTTGTGCTTTTCTTTTCTTAATTTCTATTTGTTCTTTTATGATTGGGCCATATTTTTGGTAGGCCACAAATGCTTTATATTTAGCTTGAATTTTTATAGCTGCATTATGCTGCAGTTTTAATAAACGCATTTTCTCTTTTTCTTGTAGGTCTCTAAATCTTATTCTTTCTTCTTCCATTTGTAAATGCAAGTTTCTAATAAATTCCTAAAATAAAGTAAGATAAATAGTAGTCAGCATAAACTAAATGTGAGATATTATTAAACTATCACCTAAAATATAGATTGAAAACAAACACTAAAACTGAAGTCATAATGAAGTTACTATAAAATGCACTTAGAGGAACTAAGCCAGCCCTGTTAGACTAGCAGTTAAGATCTGGTGCTCTCATCACAGCACGGCTGGGATTCCTTTCCTGGTCAGGGAACCACACCACCCGTCTGTTGGTTGTCATACTGTGGCAGCTGCATGTTGCTGTGATGCTGAAAACTATGCCATCAGTATTTCAAATACCAGCAGGGTCCCCACAGTAGACAGGTTTCAGTGGAGCTTCCAGACTAAGACAGACTAGGAAAAAGAACCTGGCCACTCATTTCCGAAAAAATTGGTCATGAAAACCCTACGAATGGCAGCAGAGCATTGTCTATATAGAACTGGAAAGTGAGAGGATGGTGTAAAAAGACGGGGCAGAGTTCTGCTCTGCTGTACACAGGGTCACTAGGAGTCAGAATCCACTCAACGGCCCTAAAAACAAAAAGGAACTAAAGTCATCTATTTTAAAGGGTATTCATTTTTTAAATATTTAGGGGCTTCAGTCAAATTATAAGTTGATACTCTAATATTATGGTTATACCAAGCCACCTAGATATAAATTGAGGAATTCCTCGAAGATAAAAAGTATATGAAACCAGAACGACACAGAGAAAAAGCAAGAGAAACCACAAGCCAAAATGCATGCAGGAGAAAAGTACTTCAAACTTTCTGAGTTGGGAGTTCTGATAAAGGAGACTCCTGGAGCTGCACAGACACTGCAGAAGCAGGGAATTATTTTGCGAGGCTTATGATACCAGGAAGGTGAGGTGGAACATATGTCTAAGTAATGTGAAGAACTAGCCTAGTCACACATCTTATCCTTTCTCAACCATTAAGAGCTAAGCACATATTGAATTAAACGAGATAATGTGGAGTTAAGTGAGAACATATCATTGTCACTAGAGTCCTAACACAAAAGTAAACATGAACCCGAGCATGAAGAGGTTAAAAAATCTTCCCGAGAGCAAAAAACTTTGAGATAAGCTTTGCTAACTGCAGCTGTGCATATTCAACATAATCAACTCTTGTTTAAAACTAACCAGGACTTTCTGTCCCTCCTTTGTAGATGAGTGAGCTGTCTCTCCCAGGAAGGCAAGGTCCAGACATCAAGATTCAGCCCCACAAGGCCAAATGCAAGCTGAAGATGAAAACTAACCACAGAAGTCCAGGCAGTCAAGGGAAAGAAGTTCAGTCTTCAGGCTAAATGCAGGCTGGTGGGAAGGCGCCAACCAGCAAGGCCACATGCTCTCCCTCCCCTACCTAAAACTGCAGATAAAAACTCCTACCTTCTTCCCCGCAGGAGGTGGACCTGAATAATAACTCCCACCTCCTCCTCTGGCTGCCTTTCCGCAGTAGTAAACCTCTTTCCTTGCCACAAGCCTGGGGTTTCAGTTTTCTTCTTTACAGACCCTACTATGCAGCAGATTAAATGATCTTGTGTTTGGGTTTGGCAATTAAGATCAAGAAAATTCAGCAAATATTTGAGGAAAACTAACACAAAGAAGGTGAGAATGAAAATACTTCAAAAAACAGAAGGAAGAACCAATTTCTGAGAAAAGAGGGCTATTAAACTAAATGAAAACTTAAAGAAAATTTTTTAAGAAAAAATGTTTAAACAAGAATACCTTTATATAAAAATGAAATGAAAGTGCTCAAATAAGAACATCTGACTCACTCAAACAAAAAATCAAAACAGAATGCTGAACAGATGACTGCCTAAAGAAAAACTTCAAAATTAGGTGCCTTCCCAAAACAATATACAAAATAACAAAGACATGAAATATATGAGACATTCAGGTATAAAGAGGATCAACACAGCATTTCCAAGATGACTACTAGGAGTTCCAGATAAAGAGATGAGAAAAACTGAAGAAAAGGGAATAACAGAAAAATGATTTAAAAATCAACAAAAGGTCATAGAATGAAGATTTGAGTTACACACACATAGAAACAATGATAACTCATACAGATGCTAGCAGTATTTCAGAACCCTAAGGAATGTAAGCTCCCTGAAGGCAGGGGCTTTTTTCTGTTTTATTCACGGCTGTATCTTCAGCACTTACAGAAGTGCCTGGCACACAACAGAAAACCAGTAAATGTGTGTGGATGAATGCCAAAAGTGAAAAATCCTAAAGCTTCAAAAGAAAATAATGAATATCAAATTTGTAAACATAGGTAGCATAGGCAAAAATAGGGAGCAATATCTTTAAATTGTTTAAACTAAATGGTAATAAACCTGGATTCTATAGCCAATGAGACTCATCATTCAGTTTTAAAAGCAAAATAAAAATATTTTCAAGTATACAAAGATTGAGAAAATTTGCCATCCAAAAACGTTTTTTGACAAGTATTTAGGTATTACTCCAGGAAATGAAAACTGAGTCCAGAAAGCAGGGGAAGACTTAACAATTCAAAGAACACTGATGATCAAAGAAACCATTAATACTTAGGACTTAATTTTTGTTCTGTCTTCTTCTTTCCATCGTTTCACTCAAAAAGTCAGCTAACAGTTTACCGTTGCTGCTTTTTAAGTAATGTGCCTTTTTCCTCTGGCTGCTCTTAAGATCTTTTTTCTCCCTTGTCTTGAATTTCAGTAGTTATAAAATTAAATTCCCAGGTGTGGTTTTCTTTGTATTGATTTTATTTGGGGATCTTTAATCATCTTTTAAAGTTTGGATTGATTTTTTAAAAACAATTTGAAACCATTTCAACTATTTTCTCTTCACCCATTGCTTCTGCTCCATTCTCTCTCTCCTTTCCTTCCAAAATTACTACTATAGACATTTTTTATCTTTTTACTATGTATCACATACTTCTTGTGCTATTTTCTGCTTTTCTCACTTTTTGTCCTCTCTGTACTTTAATTTGGATATTTTCTATTCACTTCTCTTCAGTTTCACTAATGTTTTCAGCTGCTATGTCAAATCTGTTAAACTTATCCACTGAATTTTTAATTTTATATATGGAACTTTTCAACTCTACTTGTACACTTGATACTTCACTATAGATTCTAATTCTCTTTTTATATCACCTATCTGTTTAATCATCTTGCCATTGCATGATAGTTAGAGGTACTCTAATGGCTCTCCTAACTCCAACATTTGGATTACCTGCAGGTGAGCTACTATTGTCTTTTTTTCTTGTCATTCATATGAACCTGTCTCTTTACATGCCTAACCAACTTTTTTATTTAAAGATGGACAGTATAAACCTGTGTTCAAGAGTGTGCTTATATAAATAAAGAAGAGACTTGAAGAAAATACAATCAAGGGTAATACTGTTTATACTGTTTAGCTGGATAACAGGATTATGGGAAATTTTATCTACTTTATACTTGTAATTACTTCAAGTAATTTTATATAAAAACTATGGAGTAAACAAAAGTTAAAACTAAATAAATGTCTTAATCTTAAATTCAAAGGGGTTATTTAAAACAATTAGTTGTGTTCAAAACTGCAGTAACTTTTTATAACAATCCTCAATCATAATGAAATGTCCATAATAGTATGTTTCCTCAAACCTTAAACGAAATTTAGAATTACAATTTTATATAGACATGTTCACTCACTGAACCAGGTTATTTTCATTTTCAGGACATTCTATTTCAAGGAGAGTTTCTGATGATTAACGAATTTTTTTAAGTTTTAGTAAATTAAATCCTACACCAGCTAGGCAATATTATTTTTAAATGCCCATTTCAAACATAGTAATTTATTTCAAATGAAGAATAATTATTGTACTGATTAAAAACGATAAATATATACCTCATGTTGTTTAAATTTCTCTTTCCACATTTTCTCTTCTCTATGGAGTTCATCATTCATCTTGTCCTGTTCTTGCTGAACAAATATTATATTCAAATATTAAAGAATATTGTGTTCATTATATATGATTATCACAATATATACTTGTCAACAATGGTTAGAGATAACAATGCACCCACTGGTCCTCAGTTATTAGTAGTGGGATAACAACTTTAATCTCAACCTATAGCATCATATAAATGATAGCTACAGTTCCCATTTTGAGCACATAAAGATGTTTGTACCCTGGGAAAGTTGTTTTATTTAAGTATGTTTATTAACATAATAAAATACATTGACTAGAAATACTGTTGGACAATGCAAAAATTACAAATAATGATGTTTGTAAGATGGAGTTTGCATTACAATTTTTTTCTTGCCACATCATTCCACTTAATTCACACAATAAATCAGTGGGTAATAGTTTTCTTTCAACAACTCTTTATTAAGACCTATTTGTTAAGTCTCTGCAGAATAAACAAAGGTCAGTAAAATATAATCTCTTTCCTCAAAAACTTTAATATGGAAATGCTATTGTTAAGTTCACATATTACCGCAAATTTAGCTGAATAGGTTTATCACAGGAGAAGAACTCTAAAGGATTAGGTGTTGGAATAGGTGTTATAATTAGAGGATCATGAAAGGTTTCATGAAGATTATATTTGAAATGACTAGGCTTTTAAGAAGTTAAGCAGACATTTTAGGCATTTAGTAAATGTTTTTATAGGAAAATGATTACAGCTCTGTTTCAGGAAAATTATAAGGTTGTATCACATAGAGTTAGAGAAAGAGTCAAGGAGACACTGAAAAGATTAGTGAGGTAATATTAGAGGAGCCCATATGAGAATCGATGAGAGCCTTCTGTAGACAGGGTGGCAAGAGTGAGAAGAAATGCAAAGACAATGGAAACATGAAATTGCCACAACTTGCTATATATAAAGGAAGTGGGAAATAAAGTGGGATATAAAGGAAGTAGGAAAAGTTCTTTAGACATTATCTTAATATGAGCTGCAGGACCTTTTGATGGGATTTAAGCAAGGAAATAACTTTAAAAAAATATATCCTTCTGACAGCACTATGGTGGATGAGTTTGTGGAATATAAGACGAAGAGTAGTGAGCTCAATTAGAGAGTACAGTAAATATTTCAAGCCAGACGTCAGGACACCCTGAACTATGGAGTAGCAGTAGATACATGCATGAGAAGACGGCTAATATAACTATTAAAAGGAAGCAGATAACAAAAGAGAAGGAAGAATCAAAAACGGTCCTCATCTTTCCAGCTTAGACTATGATGATAGTGGGGCTCATCAAAATAAAGAACACTAGAGGAGGACATTAGCTCAGTTATGGGGGTGAGGCACAGACCATCACTTACATGGTTGAACCACTTCAACCAAATAAGTTTTACATAATTGCCATGTATATCAGACCACATAGGAAGGACATTGAATGATCAAGAAAATTCTGTTGGCTTTTTCTATGATTAGAAGGGTATAAAAAAAGCAAGTTTATGTTGTAAATGTCATCCTTCCTAGGATGATCTTCAAAACTTCATAGACTCTAGAGGACCCAAGATCCAAAGCAGTATCTGAAATTCCAATGAATTTCAATAACAACTAATCAAGGAGTCTATATTAAATACTGTTAATCCACAGACAATTGCTTCGCTTATCAGGAGTAACTGAAACCCACAGAACAAAGCTCAATCTACACTATACTCTAAAAACCAATACCCTTCAGAAGTAGCTACTGATTCAAAAAATGTATGAAAAACAAAAATTAAAAACTTTACCTTCTGAATATTCTCTAATTTCTTCTTTTCAACTTCAAATTGTTTCATCCAGCAATGTCTCTTTTCTTCTTCTTCTTGAAATTGTTTTTCTTCTCTCTCCCTCTGGGCTTTGAGAGTTTCTTTCTCTTGGTCTTCTAGTTCTTTCTGTTTGTCTTGCCAAGCCTCAAAAGACTGCTTACATCTTTCTTCTACTTCACAGTATCCAAATTCTATATCAGCATCCTCTGTATTCATGAAGAGAAGTAATATTATTATTCTTAAAATCAAACCTGTCAAAAATGATTCAACGAAAATTATAAAAGTAATTTCAAAATGAAGAAATAATGTCAACATATTACCAAAGTAAAAGTGATAACATGCAAAAAGAAAATACATTCTTGAATATACCTGGAAATTCCATTGCAGTCATATACATGGAAATTCCATTTCAGTCAATAAAGAAATCACATAACTTGCCTTAAACTATTCCACAAAACTTAATACAAAAATATAATGTGTAGTTAAGGGATATTTAATAAATTCAAGGCTGGGTATATCTATTGCAGTCAGCTATATATGCGGAAAAATTTTAAATATATTTAAATCAAGTTAATCTAGGAAGCATAAAGAAAACTATGAGAATATGTAACTAAACAAATATAGTCAAAGTGTAATAATTTTCAAATACTGTGATTGTATTTTTCTAAATGTCAAAAGAAAACTGTCTAAATTTTTTTCATATAAATATAGTCAATCACATAAAAATTATCAAAAATATCACTGAGCAGTTTGGTCCACCTGGTAAAACATGTTCATTCACAGGCGAGTCATGAGGATCAGGCTCTGGAACAGAATCAGGACTGCCACGATGGGTTTTATTTCTCAGAAATTCTTCTTTTTCAATTTCAGATAACATCTAGGAAGTTAAAAGAGTACCAATGATTAAAGAAAACCTAAATAGAGAGTAAAGCCATCTTTTTAATAAGATACTAAGTATTTATAGACACATATCGAGAACTTTATTTACTTCAAATCTTTCTCAAATACAATTCTATAGTACATTGATAATTATTCTCTTCGTGGAGAATAAAAATGTCTTCCCAAGCAAGCAGACTATTTTATCCTCCCTATGTTTTTCAGAATTCTAATCACTCTCTAATATTTAACCACAATATTCAATTAAACTGCCTGATAATCATTTCAAAATATTTCTACTAATGTTTGTTTTCTTCCTAATATATTTCTGACTTTCTTACCTGTAGTGATTTCTCACATATAGAAATTAATATATTCAATATGTTTAAAAAATAGAACTATTCTCTTAACACGAATAATGCACAAGTCATAATTTTGACTAATACTTTTCAATAATTAGACTTCCACCATACTCTAGTTGGAAAGATACATGACATCTATTCCAATTAAGTACCAGTATGATGATTCAAAATTAGTATTTCAAGTTTGATGTTACCAAAAGGAGAATAAAAGACATACATATAAGTAATTTTCAGATTATGTCAAACATCTTAGGGAGCAGGAATAGAGTTAGATAAAATTAGAGAGAGTTAAGTAAAATGAGAAGTAAAAATGAGTCCAAGATGCTGAACCTGTAGATTAGATTTTCTCTGAAATATATTTCTGGGGGTTTTAAACAAAATAGGCTCCCTTTTACTCATTTTTTTAGGGATTTTTTATTTGTATCTTTTTAAAAAACAAACATAAGATGTTCTCTATTTAAAATTTCCATAGAGTATTTAAAGTCTCTGCTGGAACACAGTACATTCCTAAGCAAGGTAATAAACACCACAATATATTCATTGTTTTCCTCAGAGTTTTAGGGAAAAAATATCATGCAATGTATTTTATCTACATGCATTTTAAATTCTCAAGTATTGATGGTTCAAATCACTATTTCTAATACTTTTAAAGATTGACATTTGAGTTGGTTTATATTATGTGCCAAAGGAAAACATAAAACCAAAAGTGATTTGATTAAAAATAATTAAATTTTTAACTTTTAAATCAGTGAACTATCATCTTACATAAAAGGAAAAGGTAAATTTCTAACTGTACTACTGAGCACTTTCAGTCAAATGTTGAACATATACCTTCATTAACTGTTCCGGATTTGCCTTATCTTCAGTTGATAATTCTATCTTTAAATCCACATGATTATTAGAAACTGTTCCATAACTATAGCCTAGAGAAAGAAAAAATATTATAACTGTAAATATTAGAGTAGGGCATAACATGTTAACATTCCAAACCCTTCCTATCATCCTTTAATCTCAAATTCTTAGTATATTCTTGATCAGTAACTCAAAATTTTTAAAAAAATGAAGAATAAAGAACAGAGGAAATCCGTACTCTTTATTCTAAAAATAAAAGTTACTGGGGCTGGCCCCGTGGCCAAGCAGTTAAGTTCATGAGCTCTGCCTCAGTGGCCCAGGGTTTCACCCATTCAGGTCCCGGGTGCGGACGTGGCTCTGCTCATCAGGCCATGCTGAGGTAGCGTCCCACGTAGCACAGCCAGAAGGACCTACAACTAGAATATACAACTATGTACTGGGGGGCTTTGGGGAGAATAAGAAGGAAAAAAAAGATTGGCAACAGATGTCAGCTCAGGTGCCAATCTTAAAAAAAATATATATTAAAAGTAAAAGTAACTAATTTTTAAAGCACTTTAACTCTTTATCATCCTTCATATGCTAGACTGAAGTTTATTTTCCATGTACACAGAATAATGTTGTGTTCAATATTGCAATGACAACTTGATTAGAAATCAACAAAGGTTCAATTCTATTTCCCACAAACTAGCAATATAATCTTGCATAAAATATTGAAAGCACTTTAATAAAAGTATTACTTTAAAAGATTATAATTACTAGCATGTGAATGAAGTGAACTTTCAATCCTGATTTTACGAGTTTTTGTTGAATTTATCTTTTTATCATCTGGGAAGATGTAGTTATGTTTCTTTTCCTTATTCAGTTAACGTTATGATAATCATGCTATCATGATAATGTTCCCTAATAGTAAACTATTTTTAATAGATGACCATTCTGCCATTAAACCAACTATTCACACCTATTGTGTCAGATATTATAGATTTTCTTCTTCAACAGCTGTTCACAACCTTTCCTGGATGCTTTTCTTTGTGAGTGGCTGAAAAGCAGAAAATAACCTCCGGGTTCCTCTGAAGCTAGGTTTCTGAGGGTGATTTAGGTTCTGCCAATTGAGACATTTGCGTTGTCTTGATTTTCATAAAAATGTTGTGTGAAGAGAGGCAGGGAGCAATATTTTCATTTTCCTGACCCCAACTATGATAAAGGGAGCTTGGGTTGGAGACAGGAGTGTATAGTAGAGAATTAACATTGCTGAATTTCTTAATTATATCAGACAGCAGCTCCTGCAGCAGCCCAGTTCTGCTATATATGTGTATATTTTTTATGTCTTGGATGTTCATCCTAGAGTCTGTTTCTTCAGTTCTATTAACAATTCTGTTATTTACTGTAGTAGCTAGTCTCTAAAGATGTCTCTCCCACACTTTCTGGTATGCACATGCTGTATAGCTCCCACCCACACAGAACCTAGCTGACCCTGTGTAACCATCAACGTGAGGTAGAAATGACGTTGCATGACTTCTGAGAATAGGTCATAAGAAGCCTTACAAGGTTCCGTCTCAGTCTCTTAGCATTTTGTTAGTGGGATGCTCCTTCTCAGAATCCAAGAGCCATGCAAGCCATAGGGAGAGACCACATGTAGATGCCTCGAGATGACAGCCCTAACTGAACTCCCAGCCAACAATTAGCATCAACTGCCAGCCATTTGAGTTGGCCATCTTGGAATTTCAGTCCAGTAAAGACTTCAGATGACTTCAGTCTTAATCAACATCTGACATAAATGCATAAGAAATCCAAGCAAGCAAGAACTGTCTAGCCAAGCCCAGTCAACACACAAAACTATAAAAGATAATAACAAATTGTTATTTTAAACCACTGTTTGTTTTACAGCATTAAATAATCAGAACATCTACTCTACCCATAAAAACAAACATACAAATACCCCCCACAAAATCTTACTGCTTGAAGTAGTTAAAATAGCTTCTGTTTACAACTGAGAGCCCTAATCAATACAACCTTGTTCATAAATGAAATTAGCCTCTAGTGAATTTACGAATTGATGGCTATAATCTGTAGATTTTTTCCTTGATAGAGTATAAGAATTCAACTGCAAAATTATTCCTAGTTTCTAATTTGAGAAGAAATTCCTTTCTACCTTCTTAGCAGATTACTAATTTAATCTTTTCAAAAAATTTTAATAATGTGAATTTTCTTGGAAAATTATTTTATTCATTGAGACTATCAAATCTATTTGATTAGAACTGTACATGATATCTCACAGTTTTATAAACCACTGCTCTAATTGTAGTTATATAACCTTTTATGTAACCAATTTTCTTTTCTCTTTTTTTTTGGTGAGGAAGATTGGCCCTGAGCTAACATCTGTTGTCAATCTTCCTCTTTCTGTTTGAGGAAAATTGTCCCTGAGCCAACGTCTATGCCAATCTTGCTTCATTTTGTATGGGGGACACTGCCACAGCATGGCTTGATAAGCGATGAGTAGGTCTGTGCCCAGGATCTGAACCTGCAAACCCTGGGCCACCAAAGCAGAGTGCGTAAACTTAACCACCATGCCATTGGGCCAGCCCCTGTTACTAATTTTCTATAATTGTATTTTCTTCAATTTTTTTCATAATTAGGCTATATAAAATTGCCAATATATTTTCACGGTATAAACCTCAGTAAATATAAATAAATAGACCATTAAAGTCCCCATAACTCAACTATAGATAATCACCGCCAAAATTTGAAGAGTCTACATATAGTAAGTCTTTACATATCCATTCACACAGGTGCTCAGGACAAAAATCTTGGAGCTGATCTTTTCTCTTCCGTTCATACCAATCCATCAATAAATCATTTTGGTTCTTTCTACCTTAAAAATGGTTTCCAGAATATGACCATTTTTCATCATTTGTACTCAAATCACTCTCATCCACACCATAATATTACAATAGTCTTTTAGTAGATTCTTGCTACCTCAGGGCATCTCCTCTAAACAGTCACCAGAATGATTGTCTCAAAATATGTCAGATACTGTCATTCCTTACTTGGAAGCCTTCACATATGCAGAATGGAATCTAAAGTCCACACTGTGATTTCCAAGAGCCCTATATGATCTGATCCCTTGTATTCTTGGATACAACCACAAAGGCTTACCGTTCTTCAAACATATCAAGCACACTTAGTGTGCTTTGGCCTTTAGAGTGTCCTCCTCTGAAACACCGGCTCTCTAGATATCCACATGGCTCACCCTCTCACTCTTCGAGATATCTATCTGGCTTTCCTTCTCAGTCATTACTTAAATGTCACCTCCTCAGAGAGGCCTTCCCTGACTTACCCTATCTAAAATACAACCTCCCATCTTCATCCTCTTATCTTCAAGTTTTTCCTTCACAGAAGTTATTATTATTGAAATATTACATATTTATTTATTTGTTTATTGTTTGTCTCCCCACACTAGAATATCAGAACAGAAGAACATAACCTTTGTCTATTTTGTTCTCTGTGGAATTCTCAGTAGCTAGAATAGATCCTTTCGCACAGAAATATTTGTTGAATGAATGAATATCTATGAATACCCACATTATAACTTATACTAATATTTGCATAAATGCCGTTGAATTTTATAATGTTTTAATAATACATCACAAACATTTTTTATGTTACTAAATATTGTCTAAGCCACCTTTCTAACGGGCTATTATTGGACACACCAAAGTCCAATTGAATACTCAGGTCGTTGCCATTTTTCATTATAATTCTAGTTAAACTTTCAATCATTTCATTTTCTTTGAATAATTCCAGAAGTAAATTTGCTTAGTTGAACCAATAAAGATTGTTAGGCTTTTGGCATAAATTATATTTTTATCCAAAAAGATGTATAAACTGATACTTCTAAAATATTCCCATGATTATTTTTCTTTTCTTCAGTGTAAAGTAAAAGAATGTCTGGTTTTAACTCGGACTAGTAAAACAAACTGTTGACACTGGTTATTTATTGGAGACATAGGAAGGCAGTAATGAAAGTGAACGAACTAAATTGAACAGTCCACTATCCCATAGATATTACATTAGAGATAAATGCACATACATGTATATAATGAAATAAAAACTTCAAGCAGTTTAATTTTCTAAATTATAAATTATTCTTACTTACAGAAAACTTATCTGCCAAGCAGATAAAAACTGTACTTACTTAAAACATCAGGATCTTCCAAGTCCTGAAGAATGAGCTCTTCAACAGTTTTACTCTTATTCTTTATGACGTCAATACAGTGAAGAACTGACTCAGGTAATTCATCTACATCCTGAAAATTTGAATAATGAAAGAAACCGTAAAATTGTTTATTAAAACTATGTATCAAAAATTTGATAAAAATTTTGATATACCAAAAATTTGAGTAAAATGTGTAAAATGAGGTAAAAGGGTTCCATGTAAAGAGCATACTTCAAACAAATATATTTTGCTAAAATTTGCTTTTTATTTTCAGGTAGTTATAAATTACATCCACGATTCTTTTGGATTTCACAATCAAATGAAGAATTTCAGAATTTTTTGTCTCAAATTTGCTGTGGATAAAAAGACAATATTATGTAAAAATATAAATTTTTCCAAAAGTAAGATGTTTATTACTGTAATCCTAATTAAAAATCGAAGTGTAGTTATTTTTTGAAACTTGACAAATAAGTCTTTTTGGAAAAAGTTTAGTTGAGAAGATTCTGAAACAGCAAAACAAGTAAAGGAATTTGATTCATTTGATATTTAAAAATATAAAACTACAATAGGGAAAAAATTAACAGAATAATGGAATGAATAGATAGTCTTTGATAGATTACATGTATATAACAACTAAATATATACAAAAGATATTAAAAGTCAATTGAGAATAGATGGATAATTCAACAAGTGATACTGGGAATATGAGCTAAATATATGCAGCTAAATTACCATTGGATTAATGATTTTGATGTAAAAGAATGAATCCATGAATAAACTTTCTAAGCATATAAACATTGGGGAAAATACACAAATGAAAAGATAACATGCTTGATTTCAAAAAAGTAACTATTTCCATAGGTCTAAAGATTTCACATAAATTTTTCTTTTCCTGTATATCTAATCACATTAGAATGCTCACGATTAAGTAAAAACGGCAGGATGTAAATACATATGTGTGTATATATACTATAATCTCAATTTTGCAAAAAATACACATATATACATGTGGAATTATAGGTGATTTCTATCTTCATCATACTTTTTATATTTAAATGTCTATCTATATATATTGTTTAAAGGTGATCCTAAGGTAAAATATGAGATGAGTATACAAAATATATTAAGAAAAGTAATTTGTCTCCTGAAAAGCTTACTCCAATTAAAGACTCAAAAATCTGACTCTTTAACACTCACTGTATCACTATCATCACTCTGGGTTTCTGATTTTGAATCACTATCAACATCATCTTTTTCCAAGGAAGAAATGCTGATTTTATCCAATTCAGCTTGTATTTCTTCTTGGAGCTTTGCATCATCGTCGTCATTGTCTTCCATCATCCTTCATAGTAAAACACAGAACCATTTAAAGAAAATTTCGAAGAGGCTAATATGCCAGTAAAAGCTACAGGTTCGTTAACGTGTGATATCAATCCAACAGGTTCTATGTAAACATGTTTTAGCTTAACAAACTTGTCACACCTTATTATAGTTGTGCCATATATTACAGAATATTTTTTCTCTCTCCATTCATTACTTCTTTAATGTTTGACTACAAAATGATCAACTCTAATAAGATTCTTTTAATTTTCTAAGGGAAAAGTAACATGGAGTGGACTGGCTTACCTTTCTGAACCAAGAAACTTCACAGTAAAACTCATCCTCATCATAATGGGAATAATTTTAGGCAAGATACCTTTGAACAGCTTGAATATTCAGAGATTAAAATACCCAGAAGAGAATAACCTAAGTCAATAAATGGGGAAACACATGGCTAGTTTCTACTCATAAACTCGAGTTGTTACTTTTAACAGAGAAAGCAACACGTTTTTACCAACAATAACATGTTGTAATAATGTATAATATATGGCTTATAAGACCATTTATTTCATTTAAATCTTTAATATTTGTAATAGATAAAGGTCACGCAGTAGATTACATATATCTTCACACCATCATCATTATCATCAACCACCATCAGTAGATTCCACGTATTGAGTACCTGTGACAAGCCAGGCACTAGAAGACACTTGTGTGACTGACAATATTCAGAGGAAGTTAACAGGTTAAAGCTTATTACAGTCATGATACAGATGAGAAAACCAAGGTTTGAAGAGGTTATTTAATTGCATACAGTCATTATGCTAATACATAATAGATGTAGGATCCTAATTCCAAAGCCTGTGCTCTTCCCACTACCAAATGGTCTCCAAACTCAGTCAAGCTCTTCATCAGCCCAGCAATCCTTGTGAACATGCCCTAGTCCAATAGTCTTCAAATTGCAGATGACAATTCGTTAGTGGATCAAGAAATTAATTTTTAGTGGATCTTGATCATCAGGTTTTAATGTTAGGAAAGGAAAAGTTACAATAGGCCAGAAAGGAAACAATAAGTATACTATAAACACTAAAGATAAAAATTGTTGAAAAAAACATTTGTTTCAATTATAAGTATATATATATATACACGAATATATAGACATACGTATACATATATGTATATATGTACCCATGTGTGCATGAGCTCCAATGTAGTATTTTTTATTATGTGTTTGTTTTACAGTGGGTCTATACTCTAGTATATACTCTAGTAGTCAGCTGTTATTTTATTTTCCAGACTGACAAACTTTAATTCTTTCCTCAAGTCCCACCATTGTCTTCTTGGCCCGCCTTTCCTTCCTTCTACCCCTCCCTCCCTCCTTTCTTCTTTTATTCTTCCCTCCTTCCTTCCCTCCTTCCCTCCATCCTTCCTTCCCTCTCTCCTTTTCCTCCTTCCTTCCCTTCCTTCCTCTTCCTTCATTCCTTCCCTCCCTTTATTCTTCCCTCCCTCCCTTCTTCCCTCCTTCACTGCCTTCCTCTTTCTTTTCCTTCCTTTACTCATTCATCTCAAAATCAACTTTTTGGGAGCCTACCAGGTGCACTCCCAGCAGTGCTAGGTGCTACAAATAAGACAAGTAATCTGTTTTCACAGTTTATAGTCCAGTTAACAAAAAAATGAAACACCCTCATTTTTCTATTTCTTTTCCTGAAATCTCTTCTTCCTCATCTTACTAGGAGAGGAGCCCCTCTTCCTTAACAAAGTGTAACTCTTTTCCTATGCTCTGAATCTGACAACTACTCACCTACTGAATCGCGCTCCATCCACTACTCCTTCTGTTTACTGTCTCGCCATACACTTTTATTCTACTGGCCCCCTCTCCACATAAACACAATCAGTTCACTCCCATCCAAAAAAAGATACTTGTGCCTGCCTTTCTTCTAGTTATAGATTTCACAGATAAATGATTTACTTGAACTGATCTCCACATATTGCCAAAACTCTTGGGCATTTATCCCAGAGAAATGAAAATCTATGTTTACACCAAAACTTGTACACAAATGTTCACAACAGTTTTATTCATAATAGTCCCAAACTGGAAACAATCAAAATGTCCCTCAGTAGGTGATTGGTTAAACCAACTCTAGTCCATCCACACCATGGAAACAAAAGAAAACATATTATGTGATTCCATTTATATAACATTTTTGAAATGACAAAACTTTATAAATGGAGGACAGACTAATGATTAGCAGGAGTTGGGGTGGGCAGGGTCGGAGGAAGGTGGTTATGGTGATAAAAGGGCAGCACTAGAGAGCCTTATAGTGTTGGAACTCTTCGTATCTTGATTGTGGTAGTGGATAAGTGAGCATATTTATTTTATTTATTTACTTTTTTTTTTTGCCCCACCGCCCCGTCAGCCCGCAGCCCCTCCCGGCCCCTCAGCCCGCACCCCGACACAGCCCCGCCCGCTGGCCCCTCAGCCCGCACCCCCTAGCGGCCCCGCGCCCCCTCAGCCCGCACCCCTCTCGGCCCCACCGCGGCGTCAGCCAGCAACCCGCACCTCCCCAGCCCTCACCCTGCCGTCCGCTGCCTACTTTGAAAGCGCCCGGAGCCAGTGAGCATATTTAGATGCAAAATTATATATAAGGTAATACACACACAAATAAATACAAGTAAAATTGAGGAAATCTGAATGAGATCAGTAAATTGCATGAATATCAATATCCTGGTCGTGATATACTATAGTCCATAAAATATTACTATTGGGACTGGTCATGATATTATACTATAGTTTATAAAATATTACCATTGGGAGACAGTGAACAGAGTGTACAAGGGATATTTCTGCCTTGTTTCTTAAAACTGGATGCAAATCTACAATTCCCTCAATAAAACTGTAAAGATATCCTAAGTACTCACTAAGAAAACAAATAAACTATGATGGATCCATAGAATGGAATACTCTGCAACCCGGTTAAAAAATGAGTATCTAAGGGCTGGCCCGGTGGCACAGTGGTTAAGTGACCAGTTCTGCTTTGGCGGCCCTGGGTTCGCTGGTTCGGATCCCGGGTACAGACATGGCAGCGCTCGGCATGCCATGCTGTGGCAGGCGTCCCACATATAAAGTAGAGGAAGATGGGCACGGATGTTGGCTCAGGGCCAGTCTTCCTCAGGAAAAAGAAGAGAGAGACAAGGATTGGCAGCAGTTAGCTCAGGGCTAATATTCCTTAAAAAAAAAAATGGGTATGTATACTGTATCCCTGTGGAAAGGTGACCGAAGGAATAATTGAAAAAAGGCAAGTGGCAGAAAAATATGCACAATAACATTTCTTTTGTGTAACTACACACATACACAGGCACACTTTTTTAAACAGAAGCTTCCTGGAAGAAATTGGGGAACTTTTAATTTTCATTTCATACATTTACATTGAGTGATTTTTTATCATGAATATGTACTATTATAATTTGAAATGCTAGTTTAAAAATACTCAATTTTACCCACAACCTCCCTCCTCCAAAGGAAAACAGAGCAAAATTTAAAAAAGAAAAGGAGTACAAAACGCTATCCTGTAATTAAACTTAGAGTGCAAATCAAAAGCTTTGTTAGAAAATTAGATGTTTTTTAAAGTTGTTACAAAGCAGAATGCACAGGCACACAGAACTTTATGTAGAAAGAAAGGCAGGAGAATAAGGCAAAAGTAAGAGTCATTTCTATCATATGCCCCTCTCTGCTCATCTACTGATTCTTTAGATCTGCCCTAATTACACACTCGAGCACATACGTAATTTTAAATTTTCTAGTAGCAGCTTTCTAAAAGTAAAGAGAAACAGGTGAAATTATTTTCATAATATATTTCACTTAACCTAATATAGCCAAAATCTTATTTCACCATGTAATCAATCTAAAAACTATTAATTATTAAGGTCAATATAAAAAGTTTACATTCTTGTTAGGCATACTAATTCTTCAAAATCTGACGTGTGTTTTACACGCAGCACATTTCAGCTCGGACTGGCTGCATTTCAAGCCCTCCACAGCCACCTGGAGCTGGTGGTTACCGGCAGGACAGCGCAGCCCGAGATGGACCCCCCTGTAAAGGGGCTACAGTAAACTACTTCGAGTTGGTAATAAGTCACTCGGAGTGGGCTAAAGGTGCCCAAAGTGGAAAATCTTAAGGAATTCCACCCTTCCACCCTTTACCACTGTAAAGGGGAGAAAATCTACTTGTAAAGGTAACCATAAGTTATATATGGAAAAAAAAGAAAGAAAAAGGAAGGGAGGGAGGGAACTGTCGCGGGGGGCGGCGGGGGAGTGGAGGATGGACCAGCCAAGCCTCCCTTGGTCCTCAGGGTGGACCTTCAATTTTTGAGGGAGCTACCGAAACCTCCAAAACTGGAGGGAGCCTCGGGCTCCGCAGACTCGCGCGGCCGCCCGCTCGGCCCGCGGCTGCCCCTTGGCGGAGAGGGGCCCGGCTCCGTCCGCGCTCCCACAGCCCGGCCTCGCCTCCCGCAACACCAACCCGGCCTGGAGGGGCCCCGGCTCACCCACCAGCTGCTAATTCCCCCGGCTTGGTTGGAACACAGCGCCCAGAGCCTCCAAACAAAGCGTAACCACGGCAACAGCCAATCCCAAGGAAGATGGACCGGCCTTTCCTTACAGGTGCCCCAGTAGGACAAACTATCTCCATTCGAAATTGGAGCGAACTCTACATCTCAGGAGCTGGATGAGGCGCTTACATTTTTTTCCAGGTAGATTTTAATATTTAAATAAGTTTGAGAAGTATTTAATAAAGAAGTGACATTTTGTTACAATTACCCAAGTAAAGGTAGACCGACCTTTAAATTGTTTCAGAGCTAGCTATATTTATACTTGAATGAAGTGAATGTTGAGTGACTCATGTATAAATTGTTCATTCCACAAAACGTTAATCCTAAAGAGTGATTTGGGGGTCTGGAAATATAGGAGAGAAGCCAATAAACTCTTTGCCTTCCATGAAAACAGTTTCTTTTTAAAAAGAAAAAAAACTAATCAATGATCTCTCAAGGCCTATCAGAAATTTCTAAGTGAACGAGTATGCGGGATGAGAAATTCGAAAAATTACTTTCTGGAATATATTTTACTGTAAAATATTGACAGTGACACCCACTGTTTTAGTATAGCATTTGAAGTTATAAGTATAGATAATGCTATTTAATTTTAACTTAAAAATTCCTCAAGATTTCTTTTTTGTGGAGCAAATATATAGGGTACAAAACGTGAAATTTCTTCTTAGTTAATAACAGATACTTCTGATTTTAACTTTCTTAAAATTTGCAAACAAAGCATTAAATTCCAAGAGGAAGTGGTTAAGCATAATTTTAGATATCTGACATACAATACAGTAAAAGTAAACATTTCACTGAGCCTTTCAAAGAAAATAGGCTCTATATCCTGGTAACAATAAACCTGTATTGCATCAACATAAGAATTAATAATATAGAGTGAGAAATCAGTAGATTTTTAATGTTAGAAAAGCACTTTAGTGTCTCGTCCAGGAAAGATAATGATTTTCAAAAATAAACTGGTTTCAAATCGAATTAAATTTAGAATATTTTCATTATAGAAGTTTATGTTCAAATGCCATTTCTTCTTTTTTTGTTTAGTTTTATTTATTTTTTTAGTTTATTTTATTTACCTCTGCTTCTCTTTTCCACTTAAAGACCATCCCAGACTTTCAGGTTCCCTCTCTAACCCTCTTTGCGCTCTCTCCTCGCAGCTGACATGGTCATCACTGATTTATAAACTATTCAAACTTTTTTAAAATCCTCAGGCTACATTATTATGTTGAAATTCACATGTAAAAATCTTAAGATTAATTTTATTTGTAATTATAAAACTATTCAGTCTTTTCCTAAATAATATCAAATCCATTAGTAAGCAATTAATTTCTAAAACTAATTTTAAATAGCTATTTAGTAATCAGCTAATTTGAATATGATGTCTAAATTGCTTTCCTTCTTTAAGCTCACCTTTTCAAACAAATTGATAGCATATCAATTATAGCTCTGGTTTGAATCTCAGCTCTGCCACATATTAACTAGGTGAACTCAAGAAAGT